CTACAGAGCCTATCTCCATGAGATCTCTGTGCTCTTTCCCATCACTCACATACTCTGCACAACAAAGGCAGTACAGAGACAAAAACTCTGAGCTACCTCTGGAACAGAAAACCAGTGGCATTAGCATTGTTAAGGCTCATTAGCCATGCTGAAAGACAGTTCTGAGGTAGAGTGGTGACAGGCTTAACCTCACAGCTTGGCTTGGTTTGGTTCCAGATACTCTCTCTGCATCCTCATCGACTGCATGAGCCCAAGCAAGCCTTAAAATAATCCCATTCTGTGCTGGAAGGTGCTAATTATTTAAAGCGAATCAGATTAGTTCCTATGTCTGTTTTTCCCACCCAGACTCATACCCTGTGCTGCAGAACCTCAGCTAGTCTGGCTCCACCAGCACCCTGTTCACCAGGGCATCTCCTCTTACCTTCTGCAGTGGGTGACACAGAGCCTGCAGCACTGGCTTGGGCTTGTTGAGAGTTTTGGCATGGAGCTGCGGGGCCAGGATATCCCCAGCAGTGCATCCACGGGAAGGGTGGAACACCGTGCCGCATTTTTCGGAGCCAGCGTCCTCGGGGAAGCCACTGTAAAGGGTAATGTTCATGTCACTCTCCTCACCCAGCCAGACTCTGAGATTTGGGACTTAAATTTGAGGGACATCCCACTCATTAGTTCCCCTCTGTAGGTTTTCGCTCACCTCAAACGGATTTAGCAGTGGGCTTTGAAACATCACCATGTTGTGCTCCTTGTGGATGCCTTTACCCTCGCAGGTGCTGCACAGGTCGTAGTCTGGACAGACAGTACACTTGAACCTGGCACCCACCACCGGTCCTTCACAGCCATCACAGATCACGTTGGGGTGCACCATGTCACGGGGAGGCTCCTGGCTGCACTGTGAGCGATGTTCCCGCCTGCACTCCTTCTTCTCTGTTAAGGAAAGGGAACTTTGCATCAAGAACAAGGTTACTATTTAAAGGCTGGAAATTAGGCAGTGGAGAAGGAAGCACAAACAGCCCCTCTCAGTGCAGTATTGACTTACTGGGTCAGTTTATTTTTACACTGCCTGCCAAACACATGCTGGAGGCACGTAAGAAAAATTAAACCAGGTGCAAAGGGGTTTCACAAAGATACCTGCTCCTCAAACTGGGCACGCCTAATCCTTAGCAGTCTCTTGGCGTGTTTATTTTAGATTAGTCGTGCACTACCCCAGTCTGGCTTCTCATCCCACCTGCCTAAGCACTGCAAGAACAAAATGTTTCTGGAGAGGCACTCAGGAAGAAAATGCCAGGAGGCATAATAGATGTGAAGGCGATAAGAGCTGCTGGCTGGTGTGACTCATTAGATCAGCTGTAGATAAAGTCTGCAGGTATCTACGTGAAAAAGAAGGGACCAGGGAGCATCCATCCACTGCAGAATAAGCTGGAATTATGACAAGAGGGGCTCGCGTTGGGCCAGCTGAGATAACAGGGTGATGAGGAAACTTGTGCCCCGCTGACCCCGCCTCAGCAGGGAGGATTCATATTCTGGCATGTTACCCTGCCCTCTATTCACCCTCCCTGCTGGAGGCTGTGGCTTACACCAGGCCCTTTAGGAGAGGGGCGAGGGCCCGGGCTC